GAGCCACATAATAATATTTTATAGTTAATAATAATAATATTTGACGGATAATGTTCTTCTTTGTCTGCAACACTGTAAAATAACCGTTATCAGTGTTTGATAGCAGTAGCCCAACCTTTGAAACAGCTGCTAACCCCCCGTGACCAGTACGGCAGTACAATATTCTGTTTATTTTGTTTTCGCACTACCGTTTGTTATTTTTCGCACTTTTGCACCTCTCTTCCATCGTCCGACCGCCAGTTAATATACTGATTACTGATCTGTCTGATCTGTGGTCGGCCCCCCTAGAGTTGGAGAGTCACCAACAGCATCGACTATCGGCTCTCGGGAAATGATTCATTAGCATTTAGCAGTCGAAAATTGTTCGCGTCCGATTCAAATCCGTTACTATTGTAATCATCGGTAATTTTGTTAGTTCGCGAAAGTATTCATAATTCTTCCGTTTCGTCACCGACGATGTCGTGTTGTGCTCTCGTTTTATAACATAAACCATGCAAAGTAGTCCCCCGTTGGGGCCCGCGGTTACCAGTTGAGTTCTTTGTCATTGAGCTTAAGGGACACGACCGTTCACGTGAGTACCTACTTACTTAACAAACAGCTAGAATTTAAAATGTGAACTGTGGAAAAATTTCACCCACGGCCCACGGGGATGGTCACCAAAGGTTGAAAAAACTTGAATGAGAAATAAATTTCTCCTCTGATTTGTATTTCAATTATTTTTCTTCCTATTTGATTTACCTACCTTATTTTGCTCATTGTGTTTTCCATCTGATGACCTCCCAATAAGTCATCCTAGTGATTGATAAATAAATGCACGTACAAATTATATTGACCGATTAAAGTTGCTGCGGCATCTAAGAGTAATTGATGAACAATAAATATGCCTGACTTGTGGAATTGACAACTTGTCTGAAATGTCAAATTTATCAAAATACTTATGATGTAGGCAATACCTGTTTAACCCTTTTATAATTGTATTGGTAGAAAAACAGTTTTTTTGCTTATAAAAAGTTAATACAACATAAACTTAATATAATACAGTAAGTACCGCTTAATGTGACCACATTGGTTCAGGCCATTTTGATTCTATTAACCAGTTGATATAAAGCAGTGATCGCATTAAGCGGAACTCACTGTAGTTATAACTATAAGTAGGTAATATAATGATTATATAATATATTTATGTAAACAATATATCAGTATTAAATATGTAGTAAAACTGTACATAAATTATGTAGGTATCTGTAATAAATGACTTATGCTTGTACCTAACTATGATAAACAATTGAATGATGTACAGTTAAAAAAATATCAAAGGATAATGACATACTGTCTTTTTCTTTTTTCATACTATTAAAATAAGTAGTTTTGTCAAAAATAAACAATCATCAATGACACTGTTTAAAAAACATTTTTTTTAAATTAGTGGTTAAACTTGTTGATGTGTAGAGAAATTTACAAAAAAACATTCTTCCAGTGTTATTGATTGAAAACTGAAAAGAAATTTATGTATCTTACCTGTATCCTTTATTAGTAGTAGATGGAGGTGATGTTATTTACTTTTCAATAATAATAGGTATCAAAAGCAACAAAAGCTGTAGGTTTGTTTTTTTTATTACTATTTTGTATTAACTTATTAGAAAAAAATGTTTTAACAAATTAATGGATAAATAGCCAATAGGTTCTTATTTAATAATTCACTTGTCAAGTTATAACTAAGAACTGAATTTTTGTTTTAAAAAAATGTTAAATACAATGCTAATATTCTACTAAATTATAAGAATTATACAAATATTTTCCTTAAAAATGAGAGATAACATGAAAATATGTCTTAATAAGTATGCAAGTTTAAATTAATTGTTTTAAATAAAACTAAGGTAGGTTTAAATAAACGTTAACACATTGTTACTAAGAAATATCTAAACTCATTATTTTTAAATTTAGTTGATGGCTTATTACGTCTTATGTAGGTACACTCTTTTATTATTTGTTTTATATCTATAAGCAAATTTATAATATGTTTTTAAGTTTGACAATATTTAAAGCTTTGTTCCTAAAAACAAGTATTGAATATTAAATAACTTCTTTATTATGTATAAAAAAAAAAGGTATTTATGAATAAATAGGTTTATGTTTGGATGATAAAGTGATAACTAAATATATACATACCTACTGGTATATAATCTTTGATCTTAAAGCATTACATTGTAATTGTTAGGTACATTCTACATTTATAACTTTATAAAATGTGTGGATACTAGTTGTACCTACTTAGAAAATAATGAATAATTGTTGTAGAATCTGGTAGTAAAACATAACTTAATAAACTTGACTACTAATTTAATATTTTCAAGGTTAAATAAAAACAATCCTCAAGTAACCTATGTCCCATATGCTCAAAACATTTTGGGTCTTGGTCAAATGGTCAATATTAAATTTGTTAAGGAACATCAATAGTTATTATTTTTTCTATATATGCCTATCTGCTACTTATCTATAGTCATTTATAAGTGAAAACTGATTCAGAAGTTACAATAATTATTTGGCAATTTATTAAATAGTCAGATCTCAGTCTAACCAAAATAAATACCTCATATTTTTATCAATTATCTTTCTGTACAATATTTGTGCAATACAAGTATTATAAAACTATCAATCTAAATATAATATCTTTATAATTATTATTTATTACTATATTCTCTATTATATTTTTAAATATATGATATTTTCTATTAGGTAGGTACTTAAGTTCAAGTTAAAATTATTAAAATTAAAAAAATGTACCTAATTAATTTTATTTATTTAGTAATGATAGGTGTTTGGGTGTGTCATAATGGAAAAAATAATTTACTTTTGGTTTTCGTTACCTAGCTTCTAATAACTGATAATTAATGTGAGAGGGGAATTTTATTGTTCTCAACCTCTTGTCGGTACATTAAATATAATCCGTTAAAATTTAAATGTTATAAGCTTATAACGTTCTAGTTATATAATATAATGAAACCGTGACTCAAAGTACTTTACCAGAGTTTTATTATTTAACTAATTTTATAAATTGTTCTATTAATTTTAATGCCAAGTTTTAAATTTTTAAATTTTTATGATAAGGACTTACCTCAGGACTTACATAGTATGATGCAGTGTTACATGGTATGGTAATTAAAATGTGTTTTATAGTGTAATTTTGTTTGTTTGATATCAAAAAATATTATTTTTAATATTGCTTGTACCTAAGTTAGGCTATGTTCACTATGGGATAATTTGTTATAAATTATAATCATTAGATATACAAGTTTTAATTATAATATTGTTAGTACCTAATAAAATAACTAAATAGTTATATTACTACATAGTAATTTCTTTGTTTTAACTCATAAATAATATTATATTCAAGGTTTTTTGAGAGTGTAAAATGTTTCAATAGAACCTATAACTAAAACAAACTATACCTATCTGAATACTTTTTAAGGGTGTCGGAGCCAGTCAGTTCTTAAAACAAAAAAATTTCTTTCAAAAAAAACTCACACATTGTAGAATAGTTGGATTTAAAAAAAAAAATTTATATTTAAAAAGAAAACATTTTGCAGGTCAGATCAAAGTCTGATTTTCATAATTATAATTATACCAGCTAAAATATGCATTTAATTAATGCATAATATTTTTTATTTTTCTGTCACTATTTAAAGTAAAATGAAAATTCAGCCTTTGATCCAACCTGAATCTTCTTTTAAATAAAAAAAAAATTAAAGAAATCCGAATTTTTTACGGGGTGTGAGAGTTTTTCCTGTGAAGTCGTTTTCATTGATATAATACATTGTATCAACCCTTCCCTCCTTTAAATAGTTTTTGAATAGTAGATAAGTGTAAAAGTATTATAATTAAGGTAACTAAAATATAATTTTCAAAGGTTATAGAATTTGCGGAAAATTTTAAAAAAGGCTGACTCCTTTAACATGTTATTATATATTTCATTTTTAATAACTGTATTACTCTAATGTCATTAATTGTTGATTTTGCTTTCAGTTACTAGCAAAATTGAGGCCAACTGAGTTATATCTTAATCAAGCTGGAGGCGTCCGGGGTAAAAAAGCTGCTTCGGGAGTCATCTCATTTGAGTAGACAAGCCTCAAAAAAATCTTGTAGCGTTTATACTTTAACTGGTAATATAATATGTTAATTTTATAAGTATTACTTTAAGGGTGTAGATGAGTATAGATGTATTAATTATATATAAGAGTTATAACTTGTAGATAGTAATTATTATGCTGTTATATTCAAATATTTTATCACAAACCATTTTGATTCTGTTGCCGTCTGGTTTGGATCACACCCAACATTTACAGGTGCCAAATATCTAGTGCATTTTGTGCCGGTATTTTTAAGCAACAACGTCACAGTCTGTCAGCGATTGATGGTGTCTAAACAGTTTCATTTACATGTTCAATAAAATTTAATTGACTACCTACTTGAATTTTAATTTTTCTATCTGATAATTAAAGAATATAATGCAAGTTTAAAACGGTGTAAACTCCCCACACGAGAGTTGAGAAATTAAAATAAATAATAGTAACACTAATGTTAAGAAATTTTCTTAGAACTAGTGCACAAAAGAAAACAACATTTTGTAACTGGAACTAATTCTGTTCAAACATTTCCACTTCATTGACTTCATAACCGTATTTCCTCTAACACAGCCATATGGAATGGTAGTTAAGTGTATGTGTTCTTTCATATCTACTCAGCTTATTTAAGAAATAATTTGTAATATTTTAAAAGGCATCATGCTTCCTTTATGTTTTACCAGAATGTGTGGTCGTAGTCAAGGTGTGCATAAACAATTTTACATTTTAAGTTTTTTAAATGTTTTACACAAATTATGTTGGATTAATTTTGATGACAAAATATGCTTACAATATTTATACTTGGGCTTATTTTAATATTGATATACTAAACAAATATTAATTTAAAAGGATTTGGTAGGTTTTTAATTATTTGAGGCAATGTTTCCTTGTCCTGAGGATCGTGTATGTCGACCACAATTTAAAAACAAAGGAAACCGATTTGATCAAAGACAACAAGACATTTTAAATACTTGGCAATCAGGTAGGTCTGTTTAGTAAAAAAATCAAGTGTTCAGTGACTAAATTGTTTTGATTTTTTGATTTACATTAACAGCTTTTGTCAGAAAATATATGCCTAATCTTACATTGAAAAATTTATGAAATTGTAATTTGTACTAGGTAGCAGACATACGTCACAGAGTTTGGACAAACACCAAATTAGTGTCTACTGATCTCATAATTTTGAATGATTTATTATTTCTAGTTACTGCTTATTGCTTTGAATACTATTTCAAATTGATTGGTTTGAGTTAGCAAACTATTTTGTTGCTAAAAAAGTTACTAAAATGAACAGGTTTACTAAACATTTATAAATATATAATATTAAAAATTCTTTTGTTTCATATATTGTAGAAATTAAATGTAAGCGTAACTATATATCTATAACAAATAACGACCAATTTTTTCTTAGAAATATGCAGTAATGATGACCTTCCAGAAGTTGAGTTAATCAGTTTGCTGGAAGAAACCATACCACAGTACAAATTGAGAGCTGATACTTTAACACAATTTACTGGTAAGAATTAAATCATTTGATTCACATTTTATAATTTTGTATTAACCCTTTTACTACCATTGACACACATATTGTGCGTTCACTAGTTTATATTAAAATTTGATGAAAATGAGAAACCCTGGCCTTACAATTAAAAATAATTAGAACTAATTAGCAAATTAATTAATTATTCTGTTTTGCTAATAATTTAGGGAAAATTGTTTTTTCTATTTTAAATTAAAATCCTATACAATTATTTTAATTTAAAAAATATTATATGTTTATAGTACCTATTTAATGCTTTAAATTATTTTAAATGCTTAAAAATTAAATTAATTAGTTCATCATAATATCTGATATAGATATTTCTTTTTAATATGCCAATTTGTTTTAATGAATAATTTGTAACATTTCAGGTTATGAAAATAAAGATTGGTATATTCCTAGTCCAGCATCAAATGAAGACGAAGTTGATACAGCAAGTCTTTCAAAAGAATATATTCGTGAAACATTAAACTATTTTCGTAAGTATATAAGACTAGAAAATGGATCAATTAAACTAAAAAGATAGATTGATGAATGTTATTACTTATTGTTACTAATTGTAACATTTAAGAAATTTAAATAGTATTCTAACCACAGGTACATAGTACATGTAATTATTTAAATTATATTATTTCATCAATTGTAATGATGTATTGCAATTACTAAATATGCAATTAGATTTATTTGATGAAACTAAAAGATAAAATATTCGTTAGTGTTTTATATTGTATTAAGGTTAATACGGTAATTTTTTTGTAATTACTTTAAATGATGTGTTATATTGAATGCAGTAGTGTAAATAGGAAAAATATTTCGGGAAATATTTTTAAAATTATAATATAATATAATATATTATATAAAAATATTTTTAGGAGGCTAAATGATTTTAGCTGCTCACTTTAAGTTTTTCTTATTTATTTTTTAGAAAAAAAATTATATTTTATGAATAAAAAATGCGGTAGATTATTTCATTTATGGTTGTTATAGGTCTACTCACTTTCCTTTATGCATTATAATTATAATCTCAAAATGTAAAATTATTAATTTTCATAAATACTTTTATACTTTATTATATCGCCGTCCCGGTAGAACAATGACGCAACTGCAATAATTGCAATTTTACAGGAAACCCAAAAAACTAAATTATTTATGAGTGTATAAACTGATAATTCCGCAACGACGCAATTGCTTTCTGGCGGTCTAAAATACAACTACAGTTCCGTCGTTTTTCTACATTATGCGTACGCTATATTTAAACTCATTGTAGCATTTAGGCCATTTATACCAAATTTTGCAGTTGCGTCATTGTTCTACCGGAACGGCGATATTACGTTGTATTTAATAATCTTCATTTTTGGTACTTAATTAATAAAGAAGGTTGAGGGTGAGACAGAAATTATTATGAATGCATTATTTATATACAAAGGTGTAGCCTATGGGGTGCAGGGGGGTAATTGATCTTTAAATACATTTTAAAATTTGTGTTAATATTTAAAAACACTTGATTTCCCCCCCCCAATTTCTATCTACACCCTTGATCATCCATGATTAGTTGTGACCACGGTTATCTAGTAGATTTTAGGTTGTGACAAACACATTTTATGAATGATAAATCTGATACTAAATATTTACTTATATATTTTTAAAGACATTTTCAAGTAGTCGCATTTCTGTAACCATTAATTTATTTACAATATATTTTGGTTCCAACTATCAGATCATGACACTTAACATGTTTTTGGTACATCGTTGGTTGTAACTTACATGTGACAGAATGGCCATAAATAAATAATATATATTATATATATATTATGTGTTATACATGTCGTATAATTTATATGTTTGGAAGAACAAACATAACCATTACCTTTTGAACTTCAAGTAAAAAAAAACCATTGATAAGTATTAACCTATATTTTATAATAATAATAATAAAAAATGAATTGTTTTACTATACTGATGGGTGACAATCATGAATTTGGTAACTGCAGTGCTCTATTATATGTATGCATTTGGCATGGAAGAAGCTGTTCAAATTTTTGAATCAAATTTCATTCTCTTGTGTGTTCACCTTAAACAATGGTTCTATAGTTAGCCTTCTCTCTCACTTCCTATCAAACAGGTTGCAATTTGATGCTAACATTGTACAAATCTTTGCATGTACTATGTATTTATAGTCAGTCTGTCTGTTGTCAAAATGCAGGTTATTTTATTTTTGTCTGTTGATATTATAATAACTTACAGGTTTAAATGTTAGTATCTTCTTTGTTATACTATATGACGTATTTTTATACAGGTTGACGTACCCAATAGCCAATAGGTATACTAATATCTTATTAAATTAAATTTTTATTTTGGATTGTGTTTGTAGGTAGTACATAATATAGGGAGATCACAACAATTAGCACTAGACATTTATAAACATTGAATGGTTTGAAAGAACCATACATTATATTATGATTTAAAACATAATTCAATTTGTTCACCACAGGTGAAGGATATTATCTAAATGATTGAAGTGTATATTGATATTTTATAAGTGATAAGTGATAACATTAATTATAATAATATTGATTTGTCTAATTTATGTATAATTAAAAAGTGAAACAGAGCAAGAGTGCAAGACAATAAGTCAAGACAATATTTAAAAAAAAAATACCTATGTATAAATTAAAGTTATTAACTTTTGATTTTTTATCTTAAAAATATTACACCTCGTTCCGTTAATTAACGATTTAAAATTGTATTTTTGAATAGTCTAGTATTATCTGTATTATTTAGTAGCATAATTTCGATTAGATATCTCGTAATATTTTTATTTTTTTTTATGTCATATTTGTTTTATTTGTATACTCTGTATAAAAATAATTACAATAAGCACAATGGAGGGATTATACATTATATCTCGTAATATAATTACATTATTGAAAAATCATTGAAAGTGGTCAAAATATGATACCAGTAATAAGTATTGCGCATTTACTGGTCAAAAACGGATAATGACTAAATTACCACACGGTTGGTAAATAAAACAAAACGCGATTGGAATATTGCAATGCGATTGAAAGGTTGTTCACATAATATTATGATACATCCACACTCCAAAGTTCATGATTCATAGTATTTCACATATTGTGAGTAATTATATAATTATATACCTAATATGTATTGTTGGTAGGATGACATAAAACCTAATAAATAATAATATGCATTGCAATGTTTAATGTTTCGTGTTTGTAACTCGCGACAATTTATGTAAATTTGTTATTACTATATGTACATCTTCGTTCACAGGTAACATAAATTTATTTGTAAATTGTAAGGCTGGTTGGTTGGTTGTTAAACACAATGCCCGTTATGTTATAATATTGTTCTATGGTTATAATTAAACTTATTATTGGTGATCATACAATAATTACCGTGCCGTCAGCATCACTGCTACGTTATGGGCTGGGCACCAGCTCTTCGCGGTGGCTCTGTGCCACCGCAATTCTCTCCGGCAGTCCGGCACCTTACTTGTTACTTGTTAGTACTTCAGTCGACCGCGTAATTTCGTCCCGTGTAATCGTGTATTCGTATGTGATATAATATTATCGGTGTGCGTTCCGAGTTCCGGTGTTACAGTTTTTTAACTCTTTAGAGTTTTTTTAATATTTTTAATTCGTTACAATAAGTTATACAAACTAAAAAATCTTTTGTGTCGTTCATTTTGTCGGTTATTAAAGTTTTGTGATAATAAAATACTATTTTTTTCAAATTTTAATATAGGTATACCTATTTTATATTTATTTTTAATTTAATGTTATAATATGTATGTTATTGCTGATCTTATAGTTTTTAAATGGTATTGATAAGCACGTACCCGAGCACAAAACCATTTTAGAATTACGTACAAAACTTATTAAGTAATAATCCGTATACTGTCCGAATGTCAGAAATATATCATAATATTAAATCCTAGATATCAATTATGATTTTCAGTTAAAATAATTTGTAGTAGGTAGGTATTTGACGAAAAAAACAACCACAATCATTCGATCGATAAAGTCGGTATTTGACCTACAAACATTTTGAAACAACGATAAAATGTGTGTGATCATTTTCCGTCATGTATGGGAATTGCGTATAGTCTCGTGGCGTGTATGTCTTGATTTGATAGCGAGACGACAATGACGACCTGACCCATGTGTTAATTATACATATGTACAAAAAGATGAATACATATTGAATGAAGTACAAGCGTATAAGAATTAGTTAGTCATGCGTAGTAATTTTGTAACACGTGAGTAGAAAACTATTAGCCATAGAAATATAGAATCGGTTCTAATAGTTTTTTTACTTGAATGAAGTGTAATTATGTGATAATTATTGTTTACAAGGAATGCTTTCGAGAATTTGTCAGTAGGTATAAGGTTTTAAATAGACATTTTTGACAATGTGCAATTATTGATACTTTAGACTTTGCTTTTGGCCAGTAACAGTTATCAGACGTTTTTCATAGATATGAATTAATCACTTAATAATTAGAACATACCTATAGGTAAATATTATTCTCTTTTTAGAACTGTAATAGATTCTTGCTGTTCTGTACTCGGTTGCGTGTGTCGTGCATTTTTACAAAACGTATATTTTAATTTAGGACTTAATTATTGTGACAAAATGTGATAAATATCCGTAACTTATAATGAAATGAGTATCCGTGATGACCATGAAGATGTCAACCGCATACAGCTAGCGACCTGCAAAAATGACGGATATCCGACAGATTTTGAAAATGTCGGTCCGACAAGTGCCGAATTCCGGTCTGTCGACAAAGAAGACTTTAGCGAAAACCCTCTGGTGGTCAGCTCGAGTACGCTGGAAACACAAGGTGAATCGCCTAAGTGCATGTATCATTTACTGTCGCCGACTGTACCGGCCAAGACACCTGTAGACCCGAGATTTTCTTCGGACAAACCACCACGGGTGCGAATGATATTGCCTGAGCTCAATAGAGGTAATAAATAACTACGGTATAAATTCCCGTGCAACTATTTAGCGTTTAATGCGGACCTTAATTAGTTATTTAAAATTAAAGACAAATACCTAGTTTAAAAAAAAAGAATATTGAATTAATAATAGGTATACGCATATTAATAAATAAGTTGATATTTCATGACAAAATCTTTATTGTGCTCAAAAGTTAACACTTTAACAGCATCGCCCAAACTTATATTTTTAACGTACAATAGTATAAATGAAAAAGTTGATCATTTTACTGCACTCGATCAGTTTTAGTTTTATAACAACTGGACATCATAATTCATGAATTATAATATATATTTTCAATGTCAAACTTATTTTAAATACTTTCCATCCATTCGCTCAAGGACTTAAAAACATGAACTTGATTTCGGTATTTGTCGACAGCATTATATACTTCCCACGTGACAAAATTCATTTTTAATTTTAATTAATTTATATCTAAACTACAGCCTGGCTAAAAAGTTAGTTCTATATAATAGTTATAATTATACTTATCTTTAATTTATCATTAAAATGTAAAAAAAAATCTTAAAATTGTTTATCTGATAAAAATACGACTAGTAAATGCTATAAGGAGATATATGACTAAAATATAAAATGATATAATATATTATTTAAGCTTTAAACTTTCATATTGTTCCATTTATTTCAATAGTAAAATAGTAAGTACCTACGTCTTAACCTTCACCTCTGTACAATCGATTCTGGTAGAAACATGAATTATGATATATATTATTTTATGCACATTTTTTACAGTATAAATATCCTATATTATACATATATAAGAATATTTAAAACAAATAATACATAAAAGTATCCGTAAATAGTATTTAGTGGATTTTTTACCTCATCAGTAATTTGTTTCGTGTTCTATGTCAATTTGGTTTCAAGTTTCCGCGACTGTAAAAAGGTTGTTTTTATAGAAACAAAAGTGGCCCAGATCTACACGTGTACGTCAATTTTGTACACTGATAATTTGAAGGAATGAAATATGTATGTAAAACCATTAGTTCATGTTATATTCGCTTCTTTAGATTGTAGTCTAATACTTTTATAAACAAATCTAGTGAATTACCTACTTAAATTTGTTATTACTATGTGAGAATGCCCGTTATATGTTATCTCTGTTCACGTCTTAAACATTATTAAAGTAGTATATACTGCTATTATAAAGGTATAATATATAATATTATAATAACAACTATAATATATACTACATCCGAGAGTTATTACTTAGTTAACGTGACTCGTGAGAACATTTAGTAGTTACGTTATTTCTTTAATATGGGTCATATAATTAGGCAAATTGTAAAAACAAATGTTTTTTGTTTAATTGTGATATATAATTCAATTTACATTACATAACTTAAAGTTTTCAAGATTTCAATATTTACCTTAAAATATGCCACAATTATATTGTTAAAAACAATAAAAAGAACTTAAATAAGTATCCCTGTATATAATAATATATCCAAAGTTATTTATTCTGAATGCGTGGTTATTGTTATAAGTTAATATACTTGAGCACAATACTAGTAGTATAATTAAATTTAAAATATCGTTTAAATTATTAAGCATACTAATTGTTTATTTTTTAAATTTTTACTGCGTTGATTTGTTAGAAAGATAATTAAACATTAGTGTTTGGTTTAAGTTTATTGGTGTTGCAATGTTGAACAATAACTTCGTTAATATTTCGTTACTTATACTTACGACAATATAGTTCGTTAAAAATAATTCCTATTATCGCATAACATGTAACCGTTAACACTGACGTAGACGCGTAGCCATGGGGGTTTTGGGGGCTTACCTCCCCGCGCCTCCTTGAAATTGTTTCCCCTAATAATTGTATTATTTATATGCAAAAACTGTAAAAAGCTTAGTTTAATTTATACTCCCCCTCCCGTATCATAATTCTGGCTATGATTTGACAGACATTTTACGAACAACTCTAATATTATTATTTTCTTTTTCAATAAATTTTAACGACTATATAGTATTGTAAAATGTTAGTAAGATTAAAATATTAGGTATATAAAGCATTTATTTACGTAGATGATTAATTTAAATCTAAATGTTAAATTGATTTTTTAAGTTCTCACATCTATATACTTTCTCTGTTTAATTATGTAACTATGGCCAATTACAATTTTAAGTTAATGTGTTATTAATTAGTTATGGACTTATGGTTCTCAAAGTTTAATTAATAGTTGTAGTTACATAATTTTATTATTATAGACCTAGATAACAAAACTCAATATTATTATAGGAACGTATATTCATGAATTATGATTAAAGTATTAAATTAATAATATACAGTATAGTGTATAAAAAAAACTACTATAACTTAATTTATATACTCGATTTTCTGAAATTAGCATTAAATTTGTTATTGAAAAAAAAATCTTGATAAGTAATTTTTATTAAAATTAATATTATTAGGTATAGTTAAAACAATTTTGAAGTAGACACTTGACTAGTTGACTCTATACACGGTATAATATATATATATAGAGAGCTGACAATTGAAATAACTTCTGTTTTAATCAATATTTATTTTATTTTTTTTAATTTATAATTTTAAATCTGATGTAAATTTTTTTTGAAATTGTTAACTGTACAAATATGTGTCCAAATCATATAGTTTTTTTAGAAAAAAAAGATTAAATCTCATTATTTTTGTTAAATCTATAGTTGATCCAATTATTGTAAAAAACATTTTAAATTCAAAAAGTATAGGTATAAGTTTAAAACTTAGTATATAAGTACTTACCAAAATGATAAAAAATAAACCATTTGACTTAAATAAATGTTTTTAGAATCAAGTTTTCTAAAACCCAGATTTACAAATTGGCTAAGTATTTCGAATTTTTCAAAAAAAAATCAGATTTTTATTTTTAGTATTAAAAAATAAAAATAAAAAATGTTATATTATATTTTATTACAAAGTGCAAACGTCAATAAATTATGCATAACAAAAAAAATATTAATCAGAACAAAAGTTGTTTAATTTGTCAGGTCTGCCTGTTACACTCTGTATAATATATAGATTATAGGTACTGACTTCAACGCAGACCAGTGCCCAGCTAGCGTGCCTGCAAGCGGGAGTAAGTGAGCCGTTATCCCCTGTGGTTTTTTAAATCTCTGTAGGTAATTCATAATATCATACATATTATAGCATACTATATGCAATATGTCTATAATCCATAAAGTATGACTAATGATAATAAAATGTTGATCTTACTTCGGGTGGGATTTTATCTCTTGCGCTTGATAATATATTGTTAATACATGTACGTATGAATTCTAATGATAAGAATGGCTTGGTGGGAAGTTAGTTAAGACTGCTTTAAAATTTGTATACTACTGGGAATTTCCAATTGTTAAAATCGTGTACCAGTTGCTAATTAGTTAAACTTCACACAAAATGAATTGATTGTTTTAGCTTCACTACTAGTGTTTTTAAAATCATAATACGTAATATACACTGTGGTGATTTTTCAAGTATAATTTATTGATGTATTGATTATAGTTTAAAAAACTGTTCCTTAAGTTTTGAGTTATCAAATAGTTTCTTGGTTGTAGCTTTAGGTAGGTTTAACCTGCAATATTCACAGGATATTACTACCTAAATACCTGTATACCTAAATTGAATACAATAACGTCTATATAGCGAAAGTCATTTATAACAAATAAATAAAAAAGACGATTATGATTTAAGCTTTTCTGATGGCCATTTATTTAATATTGTTTTCGTTGTGTCGTTTGTATCGGCGTATCAATCGCATTAAATAAACCGTTCCGGATATCAATATGTCGCCGCTGCGAGCGTTTTATATTGACATTTTTATATTTCATATTAATTTTAAAACATTTTTACCGTCCAGTCGCCTGCTATGTGTTTAGTGAATACCATAATAATGTTCGTGTTAGAATTAATTTATGAAACATGAACTCCTTAGTATCGCTTCTATAACTATAATTGATAACAACGTATATTATTTTATCACTGTTTGATATTGAAAATAGTTCGGACGCACCGCAACTACAGCGCTTTTCCCGGAGAGTTGCGCTGTTGTGTCACACACAACACTCGGCTTATGCGGTGTGATACAATGTTCAGTCTTGCACGCCCATTCGCTGTGTTATTTTTTCATTTCGGTTGCGTATTGTAGTTGCATTTTATATTATTTCTTTTCAGATCAGTATTTTTTTTTTACACTTATTATAATATTTGGTCGCCGTCGTCTAATATAAGCAATTTTTTTAAACTAAATTGTATCTATTTTGCAGTACACTCTTATGTTTGTATTCAACAATATATTATACCAAGTGTTATTACTTACTTTGCGTTATCGATTCGCGTATAATAGTTGTGTATGTGCTCATCAAATGTAATCTCTTCGAAGACGTCTCTAGTATGTTTTTAATATTATTTAAAATATGGGAAGTTGATCATCAAGTATCAACCGTTGTTATATAAATTATAATAATGTGTCGTAATGATAAATTATTGATAGGTGTATTATTTTGAAAAGCTCTGATGTCTAAAATTATTTCGACTTCAGTTGTATTGAATTTAACATTGTTTTATTCTTATTGATTATTATAAAATGTTAAATAATATTTATCGAACCTATATTATTATTAACCGAGTAGTCCACCGTCTCTATTAAAAGTTTCAAAATAAATAAAAATTAAAAAACTCGTCCTGTTTTGTAGCCGTACTGCGTTGTAGTTATTTTATTTTAATAAATATAAAAGTTTATCCATTAGGTAAACCTATATTAATAGAACAGTCATCACTCATTATAATCTCAACTAGTAATCTCTTTGGTTTTTTTGCAGACAATAGTAAATTATGTTTGTATGATTACTTAATAAATTCTATATTTGTTAAAATTGAAATAATTTGTTTTCTATTGAGTACCTAATAATGTTACTGTTATTATACAAGGTATTCAAAACGCTCAAAAAAATTTTATCTTTTGAGGAAAAAAATATGCCTATAGGTTCTTCCATAATTTGTTTGTTCTAAAAATTCTAGTACTTGAACTGTCATTAACATATTCCATTACAAATTTGTTGATCATGCGGATCATTAAAAACCTTGTCCTGAATATCATTTAAAACTTTTCTTGCGGTATGTTGAAAAAATAATTGATTTTCATTTAAGGATGAATCAATATGGTTTGAAAAAATATTTTTTTTTTATTAAATCTTTATTTTTCGATGCCATATAATATTATAGTAAATAGAATTACCTTTCCAAGTTTATTGTGGTTTTTTTTTTCATCTTTATAAATGTTAGGTGATCACCTGTGACAGCTGATGTGTCCTATATGAGTTGTGACATCGCCATCATCATCTTAACAATAATAATACAATACAATAACGTTTTTCTATATTTTTGTGTATAGTGCGAAACCTTGTGTGGTGATATATAGATAAGGATTAAGATTGAAAAAAATTTTTCCTGTTTTTCCTTCAAGGGCGCTGTTTTTTTGTACTATATAGTTACAAGGACACGATAATAGAGACGTTTCAAACGTCAATTTTACGCTTATTAAATTAAACGCTCGAGTTATTTTTTTTCATTTCTTGCTAAAATAATTTTGCCTTATAATAATAATATTCGAATGCTGCGACCCAGAGCTATCGTTTCGTATATTATAGTACTATAGTCTCATGTATAGGGTATCTTAAGTACTGTAATCAGTAAATGCAATTAAACGTCGATAGTGTTCGCTTGCAAGTGTAGGCGAATTAATCAGTTGTTGGCTTCTAATTTTTTCAAATTATCATCTCTAGTTAATTGAACCACATAAATATATAGGTAAGATATAAGTTTGAAAACAAAAAATAACAACAGACCGTACATACTACATGGACTGTTAAGTATATTCCACTTTCGGCAACAGGATTTAATTAAAGCAGCGACCCACAGACTTGACACGGTTTTTCTTTTAGTTTGTACTCAGGTTCATAGTCCACATAGGTCCACATACATATTGTGTGAAATGGACGGTTATACAGTTCAGAGGTGTTGTCGTGTTGAACTAGTTTTTCGCGAAATTATGATTATAGTTGTAGGCGAATTCATCTTATGACCTACCTTAAGAAAGTTAAGATTTCACTACGTATTGAATATGACGTATATAGTTAATGACGCATTATTAAATGTTTCTTTGAATAATTGAAATACTTACACTATCGATTATCACAGGGTGAAGCTTATTAGCACCATCCGCTTATTAGTTACCTTGGGCTATGGCCTATCTGATCACTTCTATAAACTCTACCGAATCGTCTTTGGTTAGTCTTCTAAGACTAATATATTATGAATACATATATTGTCATCAGCGGACTAAATTTCTTCTTGGTTTTTTTACTTTGAGCTTTTCAAAAATAATATAATTTTATTGTGTTTGTGGTCCTTCAACCTAGTCTACTCTAAAATAATAACGGTATAGGTCGAGCGCGTCCTTATACACGACGTCGTCTGTCACGTGTGATGGTGTGCCGTAGTCTGTCTTTAGTCGCCACTGCCACTGCAGCAGCCCAGTGGTGTTTTCGGTCCAGATCCCGTCGATCATTCGCAAAACCGGTCTATCGTGGAGGGCCAAATTGAACGTGACTCAGTCGAGTGTTTGGAGTACGACGACGAGTTTTGCTGCAGTAGCGATGACGACGACCGGCCGCTGGCCCGATGGTTGCATTTCGGCCGGCGCGATACGCCTCAACCGCCGCGGCACTCTGTTCGGGACGACGACGAACAATTGCTCGTCGAAGGTACATATGCCCTGTACTTAGAACAATAATTTATTTATATTAGGCTGATTTGACTATATAACTACGTGTCCATTCACTTCATTCTTACATTTATAATTTATATTAGTATACCTATAATAAGGATGTGTCGCGATGATTACTTGATGATATTGTTCGCGCGTGTGTTTTAAAATTACTTCGATGACATAGGTATTAGAACTTAGAAGACGAAGACATATTATTATTTATTTATTATTATTATTACATATTATGTATGTAAGCCAACGTGTACTGCAAGTATTACTGCTGAATCAATTGTCGTATGCACACGTTCATCGACATCCTACAAATCGAAATACATAATAATAATATAGCGTACATAATATTAAGTAGTAAAATAGGGAATACCTAATTCACCTTAAAATCTTATTCATCTATTGGTTATTATTACTTTTTTTTATACGAGGTCAAAATACTAGTATCAATAATTATTCAAATTAATAATAAAGACTAATTACGATTGATGTTAATAATAATTACTGATTATTATAGGCAAGTTATTCGTACATATTTATAATAAAGTACGTGCACGCTTTACTGTTTAGTCAACTGTGCAATTTTAAAACTACGTTTGCGGTGCAAGCCTACATTACGACCAAACTGTATAGTCGTATAGGTATAAGGTTTATAATAACAACTAATAACAGTAATAACGTTACATTGAACCTCTTCTGCAAGACTTTCTGCTGTGGCCTTTTATGATTATGTTTTTATGGATATTAATCCTTGCAGTTGTTTTTAGTAAAAAAAAATAATGAAAAAAATTCCCATTTTTTGTAATATTTTTCGTATCAGTTTTAAGCAAATATGCGTCATTTAAATATTGTTAAACAGGACTCACCACTGTATTTCTACATAATTATATGACATAAGTTGGAAAAACTGTGGAAGTAGCTTAACTGTATAATAGGTTCGAGTTCACATAGGTCACTGTAATAAATGTGTTTAATTTTAATTCAATGATAAATAATTATTGATTACATACAAAAATTACTGAACAAAGACAGCACTGCAGCCTCAATTTCTAAAGATGTTTTATAATAATTATAACTATAATAACTATGATAATAATAATATATTTGTTTATATTATTTAAATTAACTAAGTTTTTCCAAAATATCGCATATATTATATACTAATAATTATAATATTATATTACACTTAATTGTTAATTACATTAAAGTCTATGCTGACGTACTGTTGAACAGTGAGAATAAGTTTGTGACATATAGCTTAAAACTAGTATAATAGTAAATAAAAAAAAATGAAATATTTAAGTTTCTATAGATAAATATTTTTTAATTGTAACAAAAATCGTTTGAGCAGAAATACTATCCAATTTCATCCGTATTGAAACATTAAACACTGATACAAAATCTAGTACAAAATTAATGTGGCTTTATGCCAAACATTTTTTTATTCCAGTAAGAACAAATTATGAGAGATTTTGTAAATAATTTTTGTGGTGTTGACGAATTTTGAATTAATTAAACCTAATGTTACCCATAACTAATTGTATTATCGATATTTTTAATAAATTGCTGTAAGAACTATTTATGAGAAACGTTGTATTTATTTTTCAAGATTTGTGACTCAAATTTTATCAACAAAGTAATGTATTTTAATGTATATATTTTCTGTAACTTTTGCTCATCTTGGTGAAATTAATTAATAAAAAAAAAAGAACATTTAATATTTCTATTAATAGCTCAAAATGAACCAAAATAGTTATACAATTATATAATGTCTAGGAAATGCAAATATAAATATTTGGTTAGTTTTAAATACCTATAATATTATATCTACAGCTAATCGTTTTTAGAATACAATTTACAACAAATAAAACAAAATCAAAAACTCTTGTTAAATCATAGACCTTTTGCTCCTAGACATGAACTGTAGTGTATCATCAGAATTACGAGCGGGACGCGACGTAACAACATCTCGCAATGATCTAGCCCAGGCATGTCAAACACGCGGCCCGCGGGCCGCATGCGGCCCGCGACTCATTTTTTTATGGCCCTCGGCTACCAATAATAATGGAAAAAATATTTATTTATTTTTAATAATATTATTTGTGTTAAGAATGTCAGAATGGTTTATTAAAAAACAACAGATAATGTTTACTAAAATACCACAAGAAAATGAAGCTGCAGTAAAGGTTAGTTACGTGTTATCAGAGTTAATTGCCAAACATTCGAAACCGTTCACTGAAGGTGATTTTATAAAAACGTGTTTGATTAAAACTGCTGAAATTATTTGTCCCGGAAATCTAAAAGCTTTTCAAAACATTTCATTAACACGAAATACGGTTGCTGAAAGAATAACTGAACTAGCTTGCAATTTGAGTAATCAAATTAAAATTAAAATACCTACATTCGAGTATTTTTCAATCGCTTGTGATGAAAGTACCGATATTGGTGGCACAGCTCAGTTAGCTGTGTTTTTTCGTGCTTGCGATATGGAATTTAATATTTTTGAAGAGTTATTGGAAATTATACCTATGTTTGATACTACTACAGGAGAGGATGTATTCGTTTCTGTTGTTGAACTCTTGAAAAAATATGATTTACCTTTGGAAAAGTTGTCATCTGATTTTTACAGTTTTGTGCCAACACGTTATGTAGAAATTCGTAGATTTGCAAGTAAAATTATTTCTATGTTTAGTAGTACTTATCAATGCGAGCAACTTTTTCCATTAATGAACAGTAATAAATCACCCGTAAGATCCAGATTAACCGACACACATCTAAATGCAGTATTAAAAGTGGCTTCGTCAAATAATATGTCTCCCGAAATTGAAAAGTTGGTGGGAGAAAAGAGATGTCAAATATCGTCTAAAAAAAATTATTAATATGTTTTTTTTTGTAATTTATACACCTATTTTCATAAATAATTAGTAGGTATGATTTATATTTTAGTTAATTTTTTTTTCATTTTTTAATTTAGTTGTAATCAGGGTTTGAATCGTAAATAACGTACAACGGAATTTTTTTTTGAAATGCAAGCCATGGTTGTAATATTGCTGTATTCGTGAACATATTATAAAGTATAAACTATAAAGAATAAAATTGAAAAATTTTTACAAAACATTTATTTTTTCGCTAAATTTTTATGTGCGGCCCGCGTAGTAAACTATTCAATATATTTGGCCCACTTGATAATTTGAGTTTGACATGCCTGATCTAGCCTGTCTTGACGACAAAATACAATAATCTATCTAATAAATATTATATTTCTATTTTCTATAACAAATATAGACAAATTTTTATATTATGTAATTTATTTTTACTATTTACCGAGTTCTCATTTGTATATCTCTCTTATCCTATCCATGCCTTATAAAAAGTCTTAATCAATATTAATTGCAAATTATGGTTATTACTTATTAATAAATAATTAATAAAAGTAGGTACATAAATTAAATTATAATTTTTATAACTAATTAAATTATTAGTTATTAAAATCTACCAAATTATTTTGTTTAATTTTGTATTAAATGATTTAATTTGATGATAAAATAAAATAATTTTTTTAGTAGCCGTTTTTTTGTGGTTTTTATATTTGTGATTTCTTCTAAATTTATTTATTTATAAAACGTACATGTTTCAATGGTTTAAACAAATATAATTTTTTATTAAAATATACATAAGTATGATATATTATGTCTATAAAGTTAATAACTATAAATAGTTTAACTCTAGATAAATCATAGATTCTAAATATTCTATTTTGTAACAAAGTGAATATTAAAACATCTTAAAAATTGAATTATATAATATTAATTATTGTATCTTGTTATAGAACCAAAAAAGTTTCAACTGTTTCAATAACTATATCATATATTATTTTTTACTTCGTTATTTTATGAATCAGTTGATTTGATTCTTTGCAAATATAACGACTCATTATGTATTGTTATTTAAAATGTGTGATCAGTAAATCTTGCTAGTGCAAAGTTAATTCTTATTGTTTATTACTTTATTAATAGTGCTTAAAAATTAGAATTATTCAATATTATAATATTATAATCTATCTACTATATCAGTAAATATCAATAGCTATATATTATTTTTAACTACGTATAATTTATTATACCTGTACTTAATATTTTGTAAATAAAAATATGTCAAAATAATTCAAATTTAATTTATAAAATAGTGATTTTCTAGATGACAAATTATAGTTTGGGGATTGTTAATCAATTTAATATTGTAAACCAGACGGTAGAAGAATTATATAAACGAAATCTGTAAAGATAATGTTTCAAAATAATATATTTTGTTGGTTAATTATATAATTTTTATACACATAGTAGAATATTTTCTGTTTTATAACTTGTCCTAATCTAAAGCCTGTTATAACTTTTGTGTATATCACCTGCTTAAATAAACCAATTCTCGTTTTGTCCTTATTTTATCTTTGGACATCCAATCATAATACAGCCCCCTTTAGCTGTTACTCTAATCGTACAAATTTAATTCGTATTATTTCCACATTCTCTGGTTAGTTGAATTATACACATCATTGAACATGTAATCCTGTTTAATAGAACATTTTCTAACATAATAGTTTTGTTTAAAAAACGTGTTATTTCTTCTTATTTTACCTTAAAATGTATTTTGGTCCATATATAGAGCAATCTATAATGTAAAATATACTTAACATTTAGTTATGCTATTAGTGTAATTCTACGAAAACCGTTCAAGTCTTAAGTTTATTCCTACAGCTGTATAGTGTTACGTGTAATCAAACCTAAATGTATATTATGATATTAATAAGAAAAAAAAGAAGTTATTCCCACGTTTTTTTAATATATGGTGTTCGAGTTTGGTCTATTATTCTAGTTTATTGAAATTTGTTTAAAAAACAAATCATATTTATGGTTTGGTATAGAGCCACGTATTTTGTTTTTTTTTTTGCATATTTAAAAATAGTGACCAATACCGTTGAACTAAACTGTGAGTGCGTGGGAGTTTTAGCTTTGCCGCACATCATTATTTATTATGACCATTTGGTGATGATTTCATTATTTCAGTTTTGCAATGACCGGAAATCAATATTTTCGTTTGAATATTTGTGTATGGAAATATCATTCCATACTGACAGCTTTAGTGAGAATGCATTTTCGATCAAATACTCGCTACAGTATAGCAACACGCGAGAAAAAAGCCTTTCACCTCGGTCGTGTCACGTTTTCATTGTGATTTGTGATACAATTTTATTTCATTCTCTGTAGAGGGTTATTATCTACTTGTTTTTATTATTATTATTATTATTATTATCGTCAAATTTATCAGATTAATGTTAATAATATCATTTGTGGATGATATTATGTTATAATTTTCTTCTTTCGAACAATCGTTTGCGTTTTCGCATTCAAATACCACTTTCGCGCGTTTACGCACGATTTAATTCTTTCAACATCTCTGGAGCTTTTACTTTTTGTGCCTGGGGCAATACCGGTGCAGTGCAGTCTTATATGTTCACCTGGTACACGTGATGATATAAGATTTGTTAGTGCATTTTACCGGCTGATACACATTTCCACTACAGGAAGTTCGTAAGAGGTTCTTTTGTTTCAAAAAGAAAAAAAAAATTAAAAAGTCCACTGGCCAAAACCACTTATTGCGACTTAAACGGTCGTACCTGAACGATTTCGCTAAATATATTATGCAACGGTACACTTACCTATTTAGTCTGAATTCCGACGCAACATTTTCGTATCAGTATTTCTATAATATTATGAGGATTACCACGAAAACCGATGTTAGGTATACCGTTGTTAGCCGCACGTTTAACTATACTACGTATATTCAAGTATTGCATATATCTTTACATATTGTGTACGTGCATTGTTTTATTGAACCTGTTTTCAATACTGTTATAGGTTGATGTTGATAGAGCTAAAAACCGCGAAATGTTCTTCATCATTAGTGCTGTTTAATAATATGTTAAGCCTCCATGTATCTAGTTATATCAGAACTTTCAATAGGTTCATCTCAAATAGAGTAGGTATACTATATATAATTACTATAGTTAGTAATAAAAAATCATTTCATTCCGTTATTTTAAAACTAAACACGAAATAAGTACAAATGCAAAAGAAAAAGTTAATCTTCAACAATTAATAAATACTATATATTATTGTGTTTTTTATTTAATAAATATAATATAATAGCGTATAAAATAGTTTGGGTTTACGAAATCGAATGATGAAATATGTATGTGTTACTCGTATTATGTGTTTTAGATAATAATATAGCCAATAAGTTAAATATATTATGTTATATACTTGTATAGTGGGATATTATATCTAACAAGTATCGATTTACTGCTATATTCTGTTTTTCATTACTAAGGCAATGAAAAGTAATACCTACATAATTTTGTTACGATGAGTTTTTTTCACACACCTTCACATATACCTTCCTTTCCCTCTGTAAACACAAAACAATTTAACCATTTTTCAACTTTAACAGTATAATAGACAATAGTTATTATTTTAGGTGGTAACTATGGTACTTCTATAGTTCTGTACAAATAATAAGTTATAAGACAAACAAAAGATTATTTGTTGTACGTGAATATTTTTATTATTATTATTATTATTATTATTATTAACAAAGTATTATATTATAATATATATGTACAAAATAGAACGTATATGCATAAATAGTAAATACCTACTGGGGGACGGAGTGGTCGAGTGGACTAAGGCGTCGGTTGCGACGTGCACCGACGCCAGTTCAATCCCGGCTATAGGTGGCATTTTTCTTCGGGCAGTTCGGTTAGGTGAGATACCTACGGGTGCCCTCTAGAAAATTCCGCCAAACACAAAAACGTGTTCCTCCAACCGTTCCCCACCGTACCAAAAACCCTACAGTACCTCCCACACCTAATGACCTCAGTTGCCGGTCTTAAGACCAATGACAAAAAAAAAGTAAATATTTTCTATTAATCAGAAATTGTTTTTTACATTTTCATAACGAAGTATAAACATTATGAATTATAACTCAACTATCACAATGTGTATCTATTCGTTATTTTTTGATTTTGAATTAAGGAGTACCTAGGTATAACTAATACCTATTTTTTTTAAGGTGATACTTTATTTTACCTAAGCCAAGAAAAATCATAGATACGTAGACCATAAATCGTCGCCATATGTATTTAGATTTAAAATAAATTTCTGTAAGTTTGAAATTTGTTTCAAATTGCTCATTTATGAAGAATTTCTCTTGTCGAGTTAAAATATTATATTTCGTATATCCTATAACCACTATTACTTTCAAGTTCTGTTCTCTGCACAATATGTATTATTTTATAATTCACCCGTCACCGTATACAGTTAATATAATATACATTTAATCATTAAATGTCTTTTATAACTCTCAAATTGTTATTTTTATATATAGCACATTAAATATTAGATAATTTATAGGTAGCCGGTAGGTATATACTATATACTACACTCAATGACAAGACGACAATGTCAACGCTCTTCTGAATAATAACTTCTATATAGTATAAAATTGCCAATTTTTCTCGTTCATTATTGTGGGTTGACACTTGTGACGTGCGTGTACAGTTTCAATTTCAAACATAAGTCTCATGGAAGCGTCTAGTTTCTCTCATTTTTTAACAATCTATCCTGAATTATTGATGTCCATGTCTCTTGGGTAATTCGACTATCAAGTCGTACAGTTCAGGACAATTTTCAATTACTATATGTAAATTATCTTTATATCTTATACTATTTCTAATTTAATCTTTGGTGAATTTTTCAAGTTGGAATTCACCTACAAAAGTATAAAAACTTAACTTTTCCCCCTTGATTTATTAATAATATTAATACAATTTAGGTAACTTAGGTAACTTAGGTATATCATTTTAATTAAACACTATATTACGTCAATAGGAAAATTTTTATTTTATGTCAGAAATATAAGGTTATATACTTATATACGTATGTAATATGTATATATCTATAGACCTACTATTTGATGGGTTATCAAAATAATTATAGAATAGTCTGTTGAGTTTTTAAATAATTGTCTTTCTAATTTATAGAACTTTTTATACTGTAATTATTAAGTTTTTAGTAATAATTAACTCGCAAGATTTAAAAAAAATACTTAATTACGTACTGCAGTTTAAATAACTGCATTGGTTAAATGTCATAAATTACCCACGTATTCATTACCTACATTTACTTTCGCCTCTAATTAATTTATAACGTGGTTTCGTGTTTTATGCATAAATAAATAAATGTATTAAACAAATTACGAGTGTAAGAAAAACTAATAAGTACCCATCATCTATGTCTATTAATAAATATTGAGAACATAATTCAATTATTCTAGTTCAAACCAATAACTGACATAATATCTAATAGCAAATATGTTTTGTTAAAAAGTTCAAAAAAACTTATAATTAGGTTGGTAGTGAATTCTATATAGGCTGATGCTTTTAATAAAAGACGGTCATTATTTCAAAAAAAATATTAACTTTTCTGGAATATTTTTTTTTACATATTTTTAAGTCGTTACAAAACTAAATTTTCAAAATAAATAATAATGTTAAATGTTAAAAACGTCCTGTATTGTATACGTACGCTGAAAAAATGCAGACTATCGCCACTATACCGACTTCTAACTAGTTAGTATGGACTATAGGATATAGACATATAGTTAATTACGTAGGTAGGTACGCAATTCGTGCTAATATATAATTAAATACCACGTGTAGATTGAATAAAGGCTTCATTTTCCCTTCCGCATTTAATAACTTTCATATTTAATAATACTTAGCTAAGTAAAATATTTTGTTTCGCATTGTAATTTGTAATTATAGTAGTATATATTACGTTTATTTAAAATTTTCTTGGTATTTATTTATTTTTCTACACATTTACCTAAGTAGTAGGTACCTATATAAAAGTGTGTTTTCCAGTTTTCACGTATTAAGTATTTACTTAATGCCAGAAAACGAAAAATCACCCGACCCACTCTGTATATTATGCCTATTAAAGTTGAGATTTATTTTTATTTTTATAACCTTATTCAATAGTCGCCCTAACTGCTACTACCCGTAATACGTATACGGTATGTCTATATTATCCAAATCGATACGTTAACTTAGGTTATTTTTTAAATAGACATTAATATAATATTATATTGCTTTTAAATAATCTACAGTTACGTGTACCAGTTATCAGTAGATATATTCACTATGTACCATACAGTAATTACCTGCGGGTAATTTCAAGACGTATGCATAACGTGGGATATGCGTTTATTGTTGTTTTCTTTATAGGTACATACTATATAATATGTACAACTATAATAAGTCATGTTTCGATTGTTTATTTTACGTTCTTTGATTAATATTAATTATTGTACTATAATACTACTACTATATTTTATTATAGTATAACACTACATGGACTTATAACATTTCTTTCGCTCAAGCCTCAAAGTATTCATAAAAAACTTCTCATGCTTTCTATATATGCTCTAAACATTATAGTATTATACAATGTATATTATATATTGTATCAATGTACAATTATTGTTTTAAATCAGGAAATACGCACATACAATGTTCATTCGTGTATATCGTGTACCTATATATATGTACAGCCTTGGATTCTCTGTTTGTTTGAATTGTGATCAACGAATTGTCTAATTTAATATTTATTATAATGACAATAATATTTTTAAATTCATCTTTTAATCATTATCATTAATACCCGTAACCCGTGTACCTAATTATTAAAGTTATTTGTTCAGTTAATAGATGTTATACTCTTATAGATATTTTAAATTATAGTTAAGCACATTATTATCGTTATAAGTAGGTAGGTACTTTTTAAATCGATGACCTAAAATAATTTCTATTATTATTTCATCAAAAACTTAAATTTATAAATTATAAATATATCTGATACCAATACTCAAAACATATACTACTTTCACTAGTACAAAATTGAAATAAACCCAAACCTAATTTTTTTTACACGCTCAGTAAATAATTTTATTACGAACATAGTCGATTTAAATTATTATTAATTTCTAAAATTCTGCATTTATAATAAGTAACAGTTTACTGTATACGGTTTCTGATAATACTTTATATTATAGTATTTATATATTATTATACTTATTATTTTATCATATTTTATGTATTATGAAATATATTTTATAGTTTAACCTTGGAAAAAACGCGACACGCGTTTATATGCACGTTAATTCATATTATAACTTGAAAATATAATGAATTGTCATTATTTCTTATTTTCATTATCTTATGGGTAAACCCGAATAACGAACCCTTGTAATTATTTCTATTGTTTTGACTTACAATTATTTAATTTTGTAGTTATGACTTATCGTATGTATAGTACCTATATAGCTACATAAAATGCTATGTTATTGCATTAAAAACGTAGGTATTATATGAACTCTCGTTTAATCAAATTGTAATTGTAAGTTGAACGCGTGTAGGTATAAAGTTTTATAGTTATGAATTATGCGTGCTTAAAATTTTTAATTGTTACCTTTTCAATAACATCGAAATGTACAAAATTCAGAGAATTATTTTGAATGCTTTTGCAATTTGGCGAATAGCAAAAGTTATAATGTACCGATAAATGTTCTGCAGCGATTTTGCAGATTTTCAGGGTGACTTTTTAATACTGGGTGGATTACCTTGGCACCCTAATGTCTAAATTTTTCATTACAATCGTTAAAATATGAATTAGCTCTCACTTGAAAAATGTAGTTACTACTATATCGTGTTGGTTGGATTTTAAGTTTTTTATTTATATGTTTTTTAAGTTGACGAGTTAAAGGAGGAATAAACACATTATAGTGCTGACATGTGGAATACTTCTCAAATTGTTTGTTCCACTACTTTGTTCAGAAAAATACTTTGCTTCAGAAACATAAATTAAAAAATATGGATCATCATTTAAATAAAAATTACAAAACATCAAAAACAATAATTGACCTTATAAACTGATTTAACTTTATTTATTTTGTAACTGAGTTAGGGCCGGTTGCATAAAGACCAGTCTGTAAATGTTTTTACGGACCTGTAACTTAATCACTCGTTAACTCGTTAACGGCTTGTAAAAAAAAAATGAGTTTCATAAAAGATTATTATTATTTTGTATTTTATTGATAACCATAACTACCAAATAAATTATACCACATTTAATTTGATTACAATGATTGCTGATTATATTATTAATACTAATAAAAAAAAATGTGGCTGATAAGAAATTTTAATATTTCTTATCACCATATTTAACGGATCGTTAAAAGTTAACGAACCAAAATCGGACCTGTAGTTTACAGGTCCAATAGCCGATAATTTACAGACCCGTTAACGTTAACAGTCGTTCAAGCAACACCCAATTTTTTTTAACGGATCGTTAGTGCGTTAACGGCTCTGTAAATCGCTAATGAACGTTTATGCAACCCACCCTTAGTGTGTTATGTTAAAAGAATCGCTTTGCACAGATTGAAAAATAAATGCAGTTTCAAAAAATAAACAGACTCCGGCCGTACAGACGCACGCGGAAACGACGGCGCGTGCGGATCAATAAACGTATCTACTTCCCCCTGACCATCACCATATTCCCCTATTAAGCACCACCCCTTTTAATAATATCAGTTGCGTCACTTACGGACATTTATAGCAATATGAGCGCTTATCAACGCATCGACGATGTCGAACTATCTTTTTAGTTTATACAAATATTTTGATTAATTGTCCGTTACCGTTACTCATGTTTTATATTATTTATAACATTATACTTTTGTGACATGTGTTTCAGTTCTATGCAGCAACCGCGTAAGCCAAATGACAAAAACCTATAATGATATCGAAGCAGTAACCCAACTATTAGCCGAAGTGAGTAGACAATTATTGTTGTTATTGTTTTTTATTTTGATTTTATTCAAAAAGAATTGAAGTACTAGGTACTGCAGTAATATTATTGATTTTATAATATAATATTAATAGTAATGAAAATAAATTGTTTTTGTTTTTCCAATGTATGGATTGTGTTTTAACCGTATGGTAATTTCGATTTTTTTATTTTTATCAAACAGAAAGAAAAAGATTTGGAGCTAACAGCGCGCATTGGCAAAGAACTTTTGACTGGCAACCAGACGCTTGAAGCTAGGGTGGGATTGCTTGAGACAGAGTTGAAGACTGTCAATGAGCGTTACACACAGGCTTCGTACGAATTACAGAAAAAAAACGACCTCATCAAAATACTCAGTAACGATGCTGATGAAACTGGCTATGAAGCGAGTGAGTTAGTTGAAGATACTGTATATTGAAAACCTTTAATTTAAAAAAAATATCTTTTATCTACGCCTAAGGATTTGAATTTGTATAATATTGTTAATGGTGTTATTTCTGTCATTGTTTGTTTGTTAGATGATGATGCAGTTGAAAACGAAAAGTATTACGGCGTCAGTGTCGGTTATTTGCAATCACGACTCAAAAATCTGGAAGACGAGAACCGTAGCTTGCGTGGTGAGGCAAACAGACTTGCAATGGAAACCGACGAGGTAGAAGCTAAGGAAGCACAACTAATGTCTGACTTTGCATCTCAACTCAGTGTCACAAGGTCTGACCTGTCCGTCATCATGGAACAAGCAGACAAGCATAGGGACGAGAATGTAACGCTGCACAACAACTGCGAGTTCTTACGCTCAAAGTTGTCCAGCATTGAGACTTCGTTAAAAATTGTATGCATTCTTATTAGTATTTGTAGTCTAGTGATGTTACAAACCCTGGTTTTTAAGCACAAACCCGAACTAAATAGTTTAAACCTTAAATCGAGCCGACTGAACTTTAGACATAATCTAAAGGTTCAGATAAATAATAAATTTAATATTATTAAATAATAAGATAATAATAAATAGATCATATTATGAAGTTAAATATTTCTAGCTTGTACCTTTATAAAAGTTTAACTGTTTTAGTAAGTTTAGCAGTAAATATTGACTATCATATCAAAAATAATTTTATATTTTCATAACAACTTAAAATGTGTTTAAAAAATGTTATGTTTTGTATGTTAGCCCCCCCCCCTCCACCTTTAATTTATTTTCAGTTATGGTTTTGCCTATATACATATTTGTGGTTTCATAACTTTATTATTTTGTTCAGAAAAATGATGAGAATGAAGAACTTATGGCCATGTTGATGTTGGCAAGGGACACGCAAAATGAGTTAGCATCTGAAATTGTCGAAGTGAAAAAACAATACGAAGAAGTACTTACCATGCTTCATGAATGTCAAACCGAACTCAAAGGATATAGGGACAAACACATACCACTAGCTCGAGCTGGCCCTCTATTCACGTCTCTTCCGCCATACTTGAACTCGAATGGGTTGCACAGCCATGGCCATAGCTCGTTGGAGAGTTCATTGTTTTCTGAACTCAGTCTGGATTCAGGAATATGTACAGGACGAATGTAAGTGAACTGCTGCGACCGCGAGTATACAACACAAACAATATACATACTAATTTTGTCTTTCTATTTAGGTCTGGGGCGAGTAGTTATAAGAAGTCTATAGGAATGATGAAGTTAACGTCAGCTATGGAAACAAGCACAAGAAACTTGTCCAGGCAAACAGCATACAACGATCTTACTGAGGAATCTCCTACTCATAGTGATTGCGATGATTTCTCTGACACCGATTCATTTATTATGTAAAATTATGATTTTGTTTTTAAATTATTGGAATGTCATTAATTATTTTTATGTGAACGGTTATAGTGAACAACCTGGTATACCTGGTGCTCCTGGATCTGAAGATTTAGCCAATGCCTTGAAACGTCTAACCCCAGCATCGATAAAAGCTCGACGCGCAGCATTGGGATCTGGTTTCATGTTTGCTGATCCTTATGATTCAGCCGATACAAGAACCCCCGACTCAATTATGTCTACTGGTAGCATAAGTTTGACAACTTGGAAAACACCAAATAAACTACAGGTTATTTGAAATATTTATATATACTCTATCACCTGTTTTATTTTATGTGACTTTGTATATGGTGTCTAGTTGGTTAAACCCATGCAAGGTTCATTTACGCTACAACAGTGGAATGCTCAATCGGTTCCATCTCTCAGCTCTATTCTGGAAGAACAACCTCAAGGTGTGATCAAAAAGAGTGATTCAACTGCTCCTATAGCAGGGCTCCCTCAAACTTTTAGACTCGATGAAATTGAAGAAGATGAACCTAGAACACACCCTGGAAAAATGTTTCAAATGTCCACCCACATCACTACTATTACCAACTCCAGGGTCATGCATCCAGATGATGGTACAAGTGTTACAACCAGGTAAAATATAACTCAATGTTTTTGTTGCGAGATATTAATATTGTTTGATTTTATTTTTTAGTGTTCGAGCTAGTGCCATGTCAACTGCAGTAAATAGCTGCGCCAATAGTCGAGTGCCCACCAGAGAGACTACACCCATGTTATCTAGGAGAAATTCAACTACAACATTTTCTACTAACTGTGGATTGGCAGCTATGTTAAATGAAAGGGGTATTAGAGCAATCACACCTTCTGCCCTAGCAACACCTATGTTTTCTACAACAGCCACACCTTGTAACAGTCCTTATGGATCGCCTGGTGGGTCCCCCGATCGTTCTCGTTCACCTTCACCATCAGATTCTCCTTACTCACATCCATTTGGATTACCTGGTGAGTTTCATTAGCAGTTTTTTAAATATCTATTGTTCTTAAAAACAAAACAAAAAAATTTAATTCCTATTTAGGATATTTGATGCACAGTGGTGCCAAATTGTTAAGAAAGACTCTAACAGGCACTGAAAGAGGAACTGAACACCACAAGTCTCGCAAATCAAAATCACTTATAAGGCCAGACAAAAAGGTAAACAACTAATATTATTATTTCTTAAATTGTAGATTTTTTTCACATTTTAAAATTTTGTAGACGTTGGCTGGTATACGACTTGTAGAGACAATGAAACACTATATACCAACTGTTCCACCAGATATGTCTGGTCATCCTGTATTCGACATAGGAGACTGTGTTCCCCCTAAACCTGAAAATGGTGCATTGCAACGACGACTAAAACAATTGGATAGTGGCAATGATAGTGGCGGCCCCAGACTTCGTATGGACTTGGGTACAGTAGGTTCATCTGCAAATGATCCTCAGCCTTCGCGAGGGACACTCATCAGTTCCATGTTTTTTGCTCGTAAAGGAGGGTTACTATAAACAAATATATTTAAAACTAGTTTGCTTTAAATGTACAATGGTGCAATGTTAATATATAATTTTATTCTTAATAAGTTATTGTGGAAACCAAAGGCAATCAAATGTATTTGCTGGTATATTTATCCTACTCAATTGACCATACATAAGAATCAAACATAATTGCAAAGGATTTTTTTTGTTTTTAAATCACCAAGTATGATTACTGTATAAATCCTTTAGTTTGTTCTAAATTTCAAAAAATTATAGTTAAGGTATTTCTAAAAAATTCATCGTTAACAATTTTTTTTTTCAAATGATAGACAATTTTTTTTCTATTAGTTAACCAGTTGTAGCAAAAGTATTTTGGTATATTATTTATTACATAAATAAGTAACCATTAAATTAAAATGTTATGTATATTAATCATTTAATAGTCATGCTTTGCTCATGCCTATAATATGCAAATATCGTATTTTAGATGCTTAAGGTGCTATATAATTTAATTTATATATATATATAATATATATATATTATTTAATTTCTTATTTAAATACGTCTTTTAAGACTGCATTATGTTGATTATTTCAATTTGTGTATCTTTTACACAAACATTTATGCTTTTAGGCAATATAATAGTACCTGGAGTGTAATTATTATTTAATTTCTTATTTTTTTCTGCTTGTAGTCAAATATTATTCCACACAATCCGACAATCTTTCATATTTAATCTCTCAGTCAAATCTATTGAATTTTAAAATATTGTTCATTAAGAAGTCGCACAAAATATTCAATAATAATTGTCTATTATTGCATTTAAAGTTAATATCATTAAAAATTAGTCATTTTTTTTTTTTTTATTATTATTATTTAATTAAATTAGTGTACGTAATTACAGTACTTTTCATCTCAACCTAAAAAAAAATTTCGGTGCGATATTTATACCTTTATTATTTTTGTTTTTTGAAATAAGTTTTTACTATTAGTTTTATGATAATTAAGTTTGTTTTCCTTTTACCAAATAATTCTCTTACCAAATTTTCAATTTTTTTTTTTTATTAAGTTGTTTGTCCAGTTTTCATTTCTTTAAACTTTAAAGATCAAATAACTATTCGATCAATATAACTTTAAAAAAATGAATACAATTTTGTTATTGATGTTGAAATAAGAATGAAAACTGAACAAACATAAATAGTTTTAAAAACAATTATCCTTTTATTTTGCTTTAAGTTAGTTTCAAACCAAATTGTTTTGTTTTGAATGATTTTTTTATATAGTATTCTTCCATATTGCTCACTCCAAGTGATTTTAGAATGCGTTATACGTACCTATATTGTATATACATTTTTATTTATTTATTATTATGTTGCGCATAATCTCGGCGTAATAGTTGCAAAATAAGTATTTCTGTGTTAAAGTCTCTCGTACGCAAATGAATACATTTTCTGTAAGCGTAAGAGAAAAATAAAACATTTCTTTTAGTTATGAATGTTGTTTATTAAGTGATGGAGCCCCGAGGTTCGATATATATAAAAAAAAAAAAAAAATATCTTGACGAGACTGAGTTAGTATTCAACCAAATTTTGTATATTTACTATATTTTTAATTAGTTATGTTAGGCGGAATATTTTTCAACCTATAACATCCTCTTTTATTTAGGTTTGAAAATAATGTATTAATAGTCCAAAAAGTGCTAATGGTTACACTTTTAACATGTAAAATCAACTGTTGTGTGTATTAGTTGATACAATAATTTATTCTGTAAAATGTAATTATTTTTAGCACTAGCTGAAATAAATATAAAGATGTATTTGTTGACTGAAGCCAAACAATAATTGTATGTTATATTTTATTTGAACTACTATCCTTTTGTCCATAACTCACCTATTGTCTATCTTCTTTATTACATACTTTAAAAGTAGTATGTAGATTGTGTGCAACAGAAAAGAAATAAAACATCAATAATGTATTAATGTGTCATAATAAAAATTATATACAGAGTACAGAAATACATAGGGGGCAAGAACTTTCATGAATTTACATATTTTTCTGGTTAGTATTATTGTATACTTAATAAATATAAAGAACAATTCACAATGTTTGTTATTAAATGACAAATACTCAACAAATTTAGTGCATATTTCGACAATCAACATATTTCATATATGGATTTATTTTTGTCTTTTAAAGGTATATTTTGAAAGTTTATTGAAGATCAAGCACTTTGGTAGATATTTTTGTAAATCAATGTCAACAATTATATTGAATTTGTCTTAAAACTAATTTTTTACATTTAAGATCAGTATATAGTTTAGATTAGGTACAATATATGCGATTATTACACTTATTTTTTTTTAATTTTACGGATAGTATCTGGCAATAGTACAATAATTATTTAGTTCATTCAGAACAGTTGTCTATCGATCAAACTTTTATTCATCAGAGACATTTATGTTAACGGTTTAACATGTACTTACTATTTCTATGCTTGATTTGAATATTAAGTATTAACCAAGTATTATACTCTTTTTCAACACATATTTAAAAAATGTTAATGCATTAAGTCTTTTTCAAATCATCAAGTATTACTGCTACAGTGGAACTAAATATTACGGTAAGAAAAATGTTACTTGTTAATCTTTTAATTATGTTACTCAATCAATAACAGATATCCCAAATTACCAATCATTATAAGATGCAATAAATTAAAATTATTTTCTTCTATAAATGTTTTTTTGTTGTGAAACATTTATAACTAAGACATAAGTGCCGTAGTATAGACATTTCAAAGTAAAATTCTCCTACCTTTGCTTCTATCCTTACATAATATGTACAAATTCATCTCGCTTCCACACGTCTTATTAAGCAAACAATGTAAAGGTGCACAAACTAAGTATGTATGCTACTGTTCTCATGTTGCGCGTTCTACAGATTTGATTAGTATGTTACGTTTGTAACATGATAATCACCATACGTCCATAGTGAGACACACGATACACATTGTGAGTGCTCTAGTAGTGTGCGCCTTTATATCAGGCATTTTCATTGTTTGCTAAAACAATTTTTATTTATTAAATAATTGGTGGTTGATTCATCATTACTTATGATTAATTAAAATCTTTTGCCAACCTATTATTGAGTGTGTGGCTGCCAAAATAATATGTAGAATAAATTGTAGTGTAGCTCAATAATTAATGTACTCAGCCCCTAAGTACTTACTTTTACAAAATGTTAGAGCATAGTTATTGAGTCATAAAGATAAAATTTTAACTAAAAATAATATTAACTAGTATCCATCAAAAATCATAAACCTGTTTAAAAACAGACTGGCTGCAGGTAGAGCACATACCATGTACACTATATAGCCGAAAGTAATTCAAAATATTTAAATTATTTTTAAACTGTTTATACCTTGAACCCATTTACACACGTTGGTATTAACTTACAAGTTAATAAAAGCAATTAATGTTGTAAAATACATGCGATTTCTGTTTGACAAAAATTAATTCATCCTTTCGTAAAACTTTAAAAAAAAATTAAATAAATGTAATAAAAGTATAAAATATAAGTAGATTGTGTAACTCTAGTTGTTCAGAGCACACCTCTGCCAGAGTCGTTTTTAATTGTATTCAATGATTTATCATTTATCATTAAATTAAAATGTAATACATTCATTACAGTAACCTACTCTATGACAAGGTACACTCGACCCCAGATTTACAGCGGAGCAACTTTTTTGATTGAATTTTATTAAAATTTAGTGTACTAGAAGCAACGATGAAAAATAAATGAAAAACTACTTAAATTTTATGTACAAATAACATTTTGTATTAAATATTAATATAAGATAAAAATTTTAAAACAATATGAATAATCATCAATTTATGACAAATCGATGCATAATGTTTATGCAATGTATACTACATATATTTAGAACACTGTTGGTGCTTGACGATTGCTCTTGGTCAAGGACTTCATTTTCTTTTCTATTAATCTTGTGCGATTTGCTTTTTCCATCCTAACATAAAAATAAATATCAACTCAAGTTCAGACACTATTAAGTTTCAAATATATTACCTGCGTCTTATTTTTTCGATGGATTCCTCAGATTGCTTTGGCTCAGGTTCAGCAGCTTTCCAGACAAGAGAACGCAAACGCTCAATAGCATCTGCAAGATTCAGTTGTTGCGACCGCGTCTTTTCAGACCGAATTACTAAATATCCCTCTTTAGTCAGTTTATTTTGATTCTACAAAAAAAAATGCCGTTTCTCATGGTACATTTTTTTCTTTGTTAACACTACTTCCATTTTGTTTTCACTAACTTACAATATGAATTAGTTTCTGCCGGATTTCTTCATTGAGCCATTGAGCCGATTCCACTTTGAATCTCAGGTCAACTTTGGTATTGACCTTGTTGACGTTCTGACCACCTGGACCACTAGAAGTGCTGTATGTGATTTCCAGCTCTTCCACTGGTATATATCCCGTGAAAATTGTATTGTCGGCCAACTAGCAAAGAAAATAAAACCATTCAGTATCCAAAAGGTCTCGATAACTTAAATATAATATACATTTGTAAAAATACATAAGTAAGCTTTAGTCGTGGGTCACATTAGTTATTAATTATTATTTGTTACCTTAGAATATTGGATTAAATATTTAATCAAAGCTATAAGGTACCTGTTCAGGTGACGGAGTTGTAATTTTCAACGAACTCTTTGGGTGTAGATTTTTCAAGCTAATGGCGCTCGTGTAATTGGAGCGGGACAAGGTCCGAACAACGTTGCAGAAACATTTGGAAACTGTGAAACTCATGTTTATTTCAAACTTTGAAACAAACTAGTATAATAAGTAGTAGAATACTAAACTCAGTAAACTCTAAGGTCTTCAATAATAACAATAATTATTCTTGTCTCTAGATCCCAATTCCCAACACCGGTCGTCGAAATTCCCTTTTCTGAGCTTACAACATGTTTGATAACGACACAGATTAAATGAAAATCTGTGATAACGACGAATTATCAGAATCATTGTGGCATTGTCATTTGTCGCAAAGACCTTATATAGTATAAGCACGATGTAGGTAAAACATTACCCACATGGCCACATAGACCTACATCGTGAGTATAAGCATAGAACAATAAGGCATAAGGCATGATATAATTAATATCATGTTATAAGGTCTATCGTCTATGCATTGTCGCCAATAGAAACGATAACAGGCCCAATGATTCTTGGTGGGGAATGCACGGGGGAATCACCCCTTCCCATTGAAATACAGTATGGATAATGCATATTATAGTTTTTTAATATTATAACAAAATATAAATAGTTTAATATATTTACATAATATATATGAATCTTATGTACAATGTCATATTATAATCTATGATGGTATCTTGTACTACCTTGTACATTATATGACGTATAATTGGCATCATATAAAATTGGATATTGCCATACTCTATATTTGCATCATAAAAACATTAGTAAAATCCTTGGATCATAATATGCAAGTAGTATAATATTATGAACTATGAAGTATACAATATCATGCATACTGAGCTAACATCAAAATAAAATGATTCAAAAATGGTAATCTCCTATACCCAAGATAGAGGCCTCTTTTCAAAAATGTTCATCTCTTATTATAAAACTGTATATTTTGCATGTGCTGAAAATAATTTTATAAAAACCAATTAATTTTTGTTTAGTGGCTATAGTACCCGTCGTCACAAATTAAGAATTATACAAAAAGAAAATAGTAAAAGCATTAAAAACACCTCCAAACAGCACTTACAAATTTGATATTTAAAATTGTAGTAACATGACATAAATAGCACTCTTAATAGACTTAATGTCAAGCCAATAAATCCCAAACCAGTTTCATAATATCCATTACATTTACCAGTTATTTTAATCCACATTCTACAATGAGTAGTGACAATGGTTAGGGTAAGTTGGTTTACAACTTACGATATAAATCACTAATCAGATTAATGATGTGTCAATCAAATGTATACATAATATAGTGTGAAAATAAGATACCTTCAGTATTCCTAGTATTTAAATAAAATATGTATTCTCGTCAAACTGTATCAGTTTTGAATACTAGTCAAATTATTACTGTAATAATAAGACACCTTAAAATCAACAAATCTTGAAAGTAGGAAAGATCACTAATAAAAAATTCATCTAAGAAATATGAAAGATATGATATTATAATTTGTTCTGTATTATCAATATATTGTATGACATTGCAGTAAAATCTTTAATGATTTTCTAAGCAATTAATGTATACTTAAAACTACTTTTTAAAATTAATCACTGAAATATTTATCAACTTATGTTTATATTACCAAAAAATATGAATATCACAGTAGTAAATTAAATATTATTTATTTATCACAAGCAATGCTAGAAATATTCATGGACATTTCTTAAAAAAGTTATAAGTGATTAAGATTTAAAAAAAAATATATGAATCTAAACCACCTTTTAGTGTTGATAAACAGTATTAATAGAAAAAAATAAGGTGTATAAAAAAATGTATTAAAACATTGCACAATTAATATTAATTCATTGATGTTAGGCGTTAGCTAATAATGAGAACAATAATAATTTATAAATATAAGGAATGTTTAAAGTTCATCATCGAGAACTGGAAAATCACCAATTTCAACTGCTGAAGGAGTAACAAAAGATCCATACTTAGGAAGTGTTTCAAAATATTGTTTTCCATTTAAAGATCCGTCATGTTTGCCGTATGGTTCATCATATTTAACTCCAACCCAATAACCACTTTTGTCATCCAAACGTCCTTTGTACATAACTGTGCCATATTGAGCGGGTTTGTTTGGTAGTCGAATACAACACCTCTGTCCAACTTCCATTTTATCGATTTGTTCTTTTTCCATATTCTCTTGTTGTTCTTTTTCTAGGTTTTCTTGTTCTCGTTGTTTCAGATATTCTGGATTGTACTTTCCCAGCTTGTTATTCTTTAAAAAGCTCTTCAATGTTTCCTAAAAAAAATATATTTAAATTAAATTATACATACGACACAATTACATAAACAGTACAGTAAAACTATACGCTGATATACACACTTGTTTAGCATTATATTCTTCCTCGGTCATCTTGTAGCCATCAATAGCGTCCTGATCTGCCTCATATGCTGGATCATCGACCAATAAAAACATACCGTTTTCAATGGGATATGATCCCAATTGTGAATCGTCATCATCCAGTTTGGCTACCAACTTCTCTTTATCGTAAGCCGATAGGATCATCGTACCAGCTGATCGTCCAGTGATCATTTCCAATTTGTTTTTAAGATCATTAACCGTCATACCTTTTCTGTATCTCCTCGTGTTTATTTCCGGTTCTGACAATTTTGTACATATGTAAACTTCTAACATGTCTGACAATTGATTTTCTTGATTATTCATGCTTATAAAATACTAGACAAAATATTTAATATTAAAGTTGTTTAGTAAATATTTAACATATCATTTAATAATTAATAATATTCCAAATATCCAAATAATCCAACCAACAAAGTACAAACGAAAAACGGTTAGTCATTCGTGACTTGCTTTTCGATGGTCGGCTATGTTGAGTATGTTGGTGAGTGATAGCCGACATGAATATATTAATATTCTGTGATAATAATATATTTGTTTTTATACCACAATGGAACCGTTTCAACCATGAATTTTAGAGATAAAGAGACCAATCTAGTGTAGATACTTTTTAGTTTTTCCACCAAATGTTTAAAATGTTTATTTGAAAATTTTCCACCCATGATAAAATCTTCAAAATATTTTAACTCTTTATGTGATATTTATATTTTATTGCCATGATTTTTTTTTATTATTATTTCGATTATTGTCGATAAATAATTGTTTGCAGGATCAAAGAATTTGGAAATTTAATACAAAGTTCAACAAGAGAATTGTTAGTTGTGTAAATAAAATAAAAAGTAGAGCGTCCATCCACAATAATTTTTTATGAGCATCCAAAGTTAGAATTTCGTCAAAATAGTGAAAAATTACAAATTATTTTGTTGTTAAAAATCCAAAGGTAATTCAAGTTTACTAAAAAGTTAAATTATTTTTTATGAGTGTTTAAAGTTCAATTTTGTACGACATTAGATATTCCAGGTTATTCCCTCGAAAATTAATGTATTTGCATCAAACGATTTTCATATTTTGTTGTAATTCAGAAACGTTTAACCTTTAACCAATACTTTGAAATGATTAATTAAAAATGTTCTATTCATGAAAAAAATTTCAAAATGTATTGACTATTATAAGCATGTTTAAATTAGGACTAAACTAGATGATGAAACAGAGAATTGTGAGTAAATTTAATTTAATTTAACTTTTTGTTTTAATATTCTAGCCCCTAGGTTTTGACGTCATACATTCTACATTCATAACTTATTTTAATAATATCGAAAATAATTCGTTGATTTGCCAATAGTATCCAACTCTCCTAAAAAAAATCACTTAACTGTAAGGTACCTATAAAGTCTAAACTGAATATAATTTATAATCTCATCGATAAGCTATATTATAAGTCATAAAGATAAATTATAATCATAAGCTAAAATATAATATCTTAGTCCATGGTTATAACTTATAAGTTATAACGTTTACCAGCGACGGAACGATGAAAGTATGCTAGTTGCCTATCTAAAACGCCTTGCGAGCAATTATTGTATATTTTTTTATATTTTCAATGATAATAATGATAAATAAACCATTAATTACTGATGATAAATCATAAATGTCTGGTTTTTTTTAATTGTTATACTGTACTTATAACTTATAAAGTATAAGTGAAGGACTTAGGATGTTGTGGACTTCTGCTCTCTTAAATAACAAAATATGTATATTGTACAATGAATCATTTGTTTAAAAATAGGAATTAATTAAATAATATTAAAAATAAGTAAAATGGTTGTTATCATATAATAATGATTGCAATTCTTAAAAGGCCTAAATGCTGTTTTTCCGTATGCAATAGCCAATAAGTCTGAAAAACAGCAGGCCGTTGGAAAAATAATAAGTACCTAGTTCGCAAACCGCAAACGGGCTACCCCAATGCAAAGAGCCTAGTCTTTTCGCAAAAATACTCATTTTCCATACGGCCTACGACATATACATGAACATAATACAGCTTATAGTTACTACATATTGAACCTATAGTATAACGAATACAATCTAGAACGGATTTAATTAGGATGACATTATTAGTGGATAGAGAATCGATGTTTTAGAAGTTAGTGTAAAGACTAGGTTAGGATTTTTTTCATTATGTCTGTTGCTAAGTGAGCTGAAGCGTTGGAAATCATTAGTTTCACCACCACAATCAGATGGGGCTCATAAAGAAGTGATGGGCTGAGATTGAGCTCTTCCTTGAACGCATTTTTTGGTAACATATTATGTGTGACTAGGTAATATAGATTTTAATTTATGATTTACAGATACCTCATACCTATGTAGGTATAATGTAGAACGTACCTAGGTAGGTACACCTATTTTTTTTATACAGTTTAATTGAAGTATTTGATTATCTATACTTAGAAGTAAAGATCAATTTAGTTTTAAGACATAATTTATGTATAACAGTATAAGTTTATAAAATAAAAAATGTCAATTAAATTGAAATTACTAAAGTCTAAAAAAATACATAATATTATTATGCATTCACTATTCACATAATCACTAAATCACGCATTTATAAATTATATTACATTATTAGTCATTACTAATATAGGTAGTCTATAATAGTAGTAATAGTACTATAGTATCAAATTGTATAACATTGTATTGTGTTATGGTCACCACTCACAGATATTATGTATTATGATTTATGACACTAAGGTTATTAATTATACATATTATTATCTGTGTATACTGAATAGTGAATAGTGAATATGATAAATTATCATTCAATAAAAAATGTAAATAAAATATTATTGTTTATGTTTATTTGATAACACCGATAACGCTATCAGGTATGAAGAAATATAAGATAAGGTAGGCAATACACCAATCTGCTGTAGCCAGAACCAAACATCAATAATACAGCATTGAGTATTAGAAGACGTTGCAATAACAATTAATGAATAACGATGATGAAACGTCAACTTGAAACAATGCCAGCTTTTAGTGTTGTTTGTTTATTAAATGTATCCTCCTCACTCCTGTCGGATGTTTGGACGTAACACTTAAAGACCTAAAGCGTGAACCGTGAAACATTTATGCATGTATCTGTGAGACCAGTGTGTTGAAGCATAACCATGACGCACCCATCAAGAGAATTTCCACCACCAGATTATTGTTCAGAGACTACTGCGAACAAGGTATGTCCATAATAAATTATGTATGTATGATATTATTAAGTCTCAGAAGGAAAAAAATGGGTGAGCAGAATGTGCATCACACACAATTCCTGTGCTAGGACTTTATTATGAAAAGGGGCCACCAAGCACTTGATAAGTATGATTATAATATTTATTTATAGTCAAAAAATATTTTAATTATCATAATATTAAGCGATCCCTTTAATTTGCCGTGGATTTCTTTATACTAAATGGTAAAAGTATAGATCTTTTATATTCTTAAATAATATGTTTGTGGAGAAAATGATTTTTTTACAAAAATCTATGTTGATTTGTTCAAAAATTGATAGTGGACTTACAGGTCAAGAAGAAATCAAAAAAAAAAAAATATTGATCCTTTAAATTTATAGTACCTAAATAAAAGTATATTATAAACCTGTATGCGTACCTATAAATTTTATTGTTTGAATTCCATTAAACTATTATAGACAGTATAATAAACAATATTTTTTATAATGGTTGGTTATAATGTATACAAGTTTAAGAAATAATTGTTGATGAATTTAAATTTAATAAATTATTACTTATTTTCCATTAGTTACCTTTCTCTACTGAATATATTTATTTTTGTTTGTTGATAAATGAAACATAATAGGTTACATACATACATGGCTGGTATAGGTACCTAATATAAGTTATAAGTTGTAACAATAATGAATAGTTAATAGGTAGATAGAAACTGACAAATGTTAAAATTATAAAACATTTCTATAACATAAAAATTGTGGTAAAAGAAATACATAGGTAGGTACCTACCTACCTAAATAATAATGATGTACCTAGTATAATATAAATTATAATGCATGATACAACAGTAATAACTCACTGAAATCTACATTTATTGGTTGTTCTGTATTTTTTATTTTAAAATTAATTTTTTAGAAATTTATGTAAAAGTTATATAAGTACATTATGTCTTAATGATTAATTTTCTTTGTCGTTTAAATTCTAAAATTTTATATAATATACCTTAATAGTTAATATTTTTTTAAGTCTTACAAATTAATTAATCTTAGGATTTACTTAATTGGTAGAATATTACTTGTAAGTATTGAGTTGAAGATGAACCTTCTAAAATCAAAACAATATTCTAATGTATGATTGTAAAATTTAAATTTATGAAAAAGGAGAAGAGAAAATAAATTATATTTATTAGTAAAAGTTTAAAATATTATGTTTGTGACTTGTGGTACCTAAGTAATCTTCTAAATAGGTGCAATGTTTTCAAATAAGTTTGATAAAATATAAATTCTATTTTTTAATTTATAATATTTTCAATATTTTAGTTTTAAACCCAGTTATGACTTTATGAGTATTTTAAAATTGTTAATTGTATGTACATTTTAAAAATCTTAAGAATAATGGTTTTCCAGCGGTTTTCTGGTTATTTCCCGTGGTTTTTAAAAGCGCCGGGAAAAACAAAAAAATATTAAGAAAAAATGAGTATTTTATACGTAAAATCAGTTTTCGGTATTTTGGTATTTAATGTAACTCTAAAAAACATGATTATAGATACATGACATTTTCACTGAATATTTATATTAGTATTTTACCTACACCATACAATTTACAAAATATTTTAACTTATTTTGAGCTGTTTACGGACAATTTAGTTTTCAATTTTTTTAGTTTTTATTCTACAAATTTCAATAAAATTGTATTCGTTGAGTCAAAAAGCTTGAAAACGTAATATAAGGCTCCTAAAATATTGTTACTACGGCAGCTGAAAATATTAAAAATACATAGTCACAATTTTTTATTATAAGTATAATTATAATCATTTGTTCAAATTTTGACAAATGACGTAAATATCACGAATATTTGCAAATTATTTTGAGTTAGAAGGTCATAAGATTTTTCTTCTTAAATCTAAGATCTAAGATTTAAAAATTAATACAAGTTTCCTCATAAGTTTGTCTGCCTTTAACAAAAAAAAAAATGTCTACTCGAAAGTCAAATTAAATTTTGATGAACGTTTGAAGTTCAAATTTTTACAGCATCGGATATTCACTTGATTTCTCATGTAGCGATTGTATT